ACACACACACTACACACACACACACACACTCACACTCACACACCGTCTGAAGGTCACTGAACTTCAGCAGGGTGAATCAGGCTTCTCAAATACCAGTGCAGACGTCAGCTCTGAAGCATTTGCTCATTAAACGCAGCGATGCAGTCGAGAGAAACGACAGCAGATGCTGCAGAAACCCGTCAGGAGCCGTAAAAACTCAAACGCATTACGGCTCTTAAAGCACCTGCATCGGACCGATCGAGTGTTTCTGAGACGCTCACTGGTTAAAATGTGTCCCTGCAGCACAAAAGCAGTGTTAAGTCGCTGGGGTATATTTGTAGCAATAGCCAACAATACATTGTATGGGTCAAAATTATACATTTTTCTTTTATGCCAAAAATCATTAGGATATTAAGTAAAGATCATGTTCCATGAAGATATTTTGTAAATGTCCTACCGTAAATATATCAAAACTTAATGTTTGATTAGTAATATGCATCGCTAAGAACTTAATTTGGACAACTTTAAAGATGATTTTCTCAATATTTAGATTTTTTAGCACCCTCAGATTCCAGATTTTCAAATAGTTGGATCTCAGCCAAATATTGTCCGATCCTAACAAACCATACATCAATGAATAAATTATAATGCAATAAATGTTTGACTAGAACTCTGCATTTATTTAATCTGCGTCTATCCTCTCATTTATGTGTCAGGGTTTGTTCTAAACCTCCAACTTTTCATGTAAATATAAATATATTTTTAAATTAATTATTATTAATTTCATTTTATTTTAATAGAGTTTAATTCAATTGCATGTATTATTAATTACATTTGAATTTAAATGCTATAATATAAATACTTAAAAAATAAATTATAATAAAATAAATACTGAATTTAGCCCTATAACTCTATTTATTTGTTTATTTATTTATTTCGCTATTCTCTCTGTTGTGTGTCAGGGTTTGTTCTAAACCTCTAGTTTTTTATTTATTACTTTATTTAAATATAAATACATAATAAATATAAACACATAAAAATAAATATTTAAAAAACAGAATTTATGCCTATAAAAATATATATATATTTTTTAATATAAATTAATATAATTCACTTCACATTTATTTGTATAGCATTTTTATATGCTATATATATTTATATATAAATATTTTATGAAATAAAAAAAAAAATACATATTTTATAAAATATAATTTATATCATATAAATATCAATCACAATGTAAACAACAGCAATGGCATCACTGCAACACACTGAACTGTGATTATCATCTATTATTCAGACAACATGAATACTCTCAGCGTTTTCACATGTATTTGCCAGGCTCAGTGTGGTGAAGGTGAAGAGGTCAGAGGTCAAAGGTGAGGGAAGGAGTACCTCGGTCTGCACCATGTTGACTCTGCGCGATCGCAGCTCTCTCACGCAGTTATAGATGTCGACGACTCCTTCCCGCTCCGCCATGTCCAGCATGATGTCAATCACGATGAAGCAGCCCGTTCGCCCCGCCCCCGCACTGTAAGCGACCAATCAAAACACAGATTCAGATCGACAGATAAAACCACGGGAATAAAACAATCAAAATCACACTAATGGCAACATCTGTCTGGAGAAGACCTTCAACTGAATCTGAAATTTATTTGTGAGTCAGAATTACTATAATAATTAGTTACCGTTGAGTAAAAAAATCTTTCTTGAATTCATAATTACAAGTTTTATGTATGTATTGATAAGTTTTAAATAACTTTTACATTAGTTCCAGCTTCTCTCACTTGATTGTAATGTCAACATATAAAAAACAGAATGTCACATGCACACACTCTCTCTCTCTCACACACACACACACACATTTAATTTATTTCAACATTTTGACTGGTAGCTTCTCAAAATGTATAATTCAAAAACAATAAAAAGTTCAAATAACAACAAATGAAGTCAGACAGTCATGTTGGTGTTATAGCTAGAGTCTCTGTATGTGGTGTGTTCTGGTACCTGCAGTGGACCACGATGGGTCCGGCGTTGGTGGGGGATTTGGCTTTGACCCGCCGCACAAATCCCAGCAGACCCGTGGCGTGATACGGAACGCCGTGATCCGGCCAACCGGTGAAATGAAACTGACTGATCTCACGGATCTCGTGAGCTCCTCGCTGCAGAATGGACAGAGACATCATCATCAGATCTCATACACTTCATCATCATCATCAGACCCGAGCTTTACTAATGAACACACTTCATCATCACACCTGACTCACACAACTCACATTTACACACTCTGTATCTGCTGACAATTGAGTAAAATCTACCAAAACTACAACAACAGCTAGTGAAGAGCTTTTCATTAAACTCAGGATTGATCAAAAGCAGTCCACATTTATCAAACCTACATATTTCTTTCTAACAAAACCACATCACCATGTGTAAATATTACTCTGAAACATTTTCAAACAAATTACATAAACGTTCACTTTCAGATGAAAAAAGTGATACATTTTTCACATCAACAGGCATATTCATGTTTATCAATAAAATTCAGTCCAAAAGTGTGTGAAGGCTAAATATATTTGACAAATTATTATATTAGTATTAGCTATTAGATATTAGTTTTTGACACTAATATAACTTCATAGATAATTTTCCAGAAAGTATTTTTGACACTAATTGTACTCCATACATCAAAATGACCCGAACACAAAAACATGTAACATTTTTATTTATAAATGGTTGTATCTCTTAAAAAATTACTGTAAAAAATATGAAAAAAATAAATGATGTGTATTTTGAGGGTCTTGAAGCATGTGTAAAGCTTTATTCCCTTATTATAAACTAAAAGCAAACGCAAAAAATCCGCACACCAAACAAAATGCAAAGTTCAAAGTTCTTTTGAACAAAGATGTAATCCTGAAGATTTACATGAAAGAGACAACAAAAACTAAAGTGCACTAACAAAAAAGGACCGTGAACTTTGCATTTCGTTTGGTGTGCGGATTTGGATTTTTTGCTTTTTGCATTTTTAAAAAAAATTGATTTAATCCACACACCCAACAATATTTTCTATTTTACTCAATTGGCGCAGAATTTTTTTTCATATTTTTCACTTAGTTTAAACTATGCATTTTTAAAAATGTTTAAGTATCTGTTCCGGAGCTGATTAATGGATGTGAAGGGCGTCTCCTCACCTTCTCCACCGCAAACGTTCTGATGACGTACTCGGACAGAAGCTGCGTCTCGATCAGCGTCACCTTGATGTCTCTGTAGATCTCGGTGTCGTCTGGCCAGTACTTACAGCACTTCACCTGACACACACAAACACACACAGACCTTCATCAGAGGAGCACGGCTTCGAGTCCGGCTCGCAACTTCAGGAAGCCGCTTTAACCTCACTAAGCAGTTTGACTATTTCTGCAACTGACGTCATACACAAATGATAATTCAAAGTGCATTAAATAAAAATGCATTTGAATGCATAAATGCATAAAATGCATAAAAATGCAAAGTGCATTTTATTTGCAATAAAAAGAAAAATAAATAAAAATGATACAAAAAAAGTAAACAATATGTATGTTTCTGCAACAGAATTAAAAAAAAAAAAAGCATCTTGCAATTTGGACAGTTTTTTCCTCAGAATTCTGAGAGCATTTTGCAATTCCGTTTTATTATTATAATTTTTTTTTCACCATGGAATTAAAAAATATATAATTTTTAACTCACAATTCCGAATTTTATATCTCACAATTTGGACTTTTCTTCTCAGAATTGCAAGTTTATATTATACAGTATATAAAATGTTATAATCATATTATATATTAAACTGACTTAAAAACTGCGTTGCATCTTGTATAACTTAAAAAAAAAAAAAACTTGAAAAAATGAATTTGAAGTTGGTTAAATTAATTTGGTGAATTAAAGTATGTAAATGTTAACTAATTATATCCTTTTTTTTTTCTTTTTTTTTGTTTTTCAGTTTTGATGTGAAAAAACAAACAAACACTACATTGTAAAAATGATTTGTTGGTTTAACTTCAATTAAGTAACCTAACTAACAATTTTTGATCCAACAAATCAAACAAAACAACAAGTTGAGTTTATTTAAACTACAAATTTGAGTTGATACAAAGAAACCGATTCGATTATTCATTATATTTTTACATTCTGTGTACATTCTAGTAAATTTGTAGTCTTTCTGAGGAGTAAATGCTGATGTGGAGATGATGCTCGCTCGTCTCACTATCACGTCACGCATCAGAATCACGTTGTGTCTGACCTTTTGTCTGAAACGGTGGCATGTGATTGCGCTCGGTTTCAAATGTCACCCGATCACATTAAATGAACCCTTCAGCGGCGGTGAGCAGGTCAAGTGCTCCTGATTAACACAGGTATTGATGGAGAAACTCCAGATCAATACACCGCGAGGATCATCCTCCATATGCTCTCATTTCAACAGCATTAACTCCCATTGATTCAGTTCCTCAAACGCATCAGATAAACCTCTATCAATACTTTCATGTTTCTGAAAAACATTTATAGCATTTTCATTTAATGACTCTAAAATGTCAAGAGATGTAAGCATCCAATAAAAGCATCAAATAAAAGCCAAGCAGATATTGTTACACCTTCAATTAATATGAGTCACACATCTTAATCACTTTTTTATAAAGAGTTTTTAAACAAGTATGTTTACTAGGGCTGTTAAAAATGTTAATCTAATTAATCGCAAACTAAATTTGGCTGTGAAAATACCCCCAAAAGATAATTTAAAGCTATTATTGTGTTGAATGTTTAGGCTACAATGGCCTAACATATATGTATGGAACATAAAAGAAGATAATTTGAGAAACATCTCAGTATTTTTTGTTCATGCAATGAAAGTGAATAGTGACCAAAACAACTTAGTTACCAACAGTATTCAAAATACCTTCTTTTATGTTCTGCAAAAGAAAGTAAGTCATTCAGGGTTGAAACGACATGAGGGTGAGTAAATGATGACAGAATTAATTAATTTATTTATTTTTGGTGAACTATCCCTTTAATGTTTTTTTATTTTATTTATTTATTTATTTTTATAAATGAAATGATACTCTAAAGAAGAAACTAAAACTGCCAGCAGGTGGCGGTAAATGTCTTTATGAGTTGAATCGTTCAAACGGCTGATTCATTTAGGAATTCAGTAAACGGCTCTCTCTATAAATGGGCTACTGAATCATTGATTCACTCGATTCGTTCAAACGGCTGATTCATTCAGTAATTCAGTAAACGGCTCTCTCTTAGGAAACCACAATGTATTATTTGGTACTTTGTCTATGAATAGTCTATTAAGTCTATTAATAAAATAAAACAGCCAGTTAGAAATTTTTTTACATCTTTAATTAATGTGAATTCACACACCTTAATCATAATTTTTTAATGAAAAAGAAAAAAAAAACTTTTAATGAATTCTAGGCTATATGATAGCTTTAGATAGTTATAGTTTAGATTACATTTTTTGGTGCTTCTTTAATATAAACAAACCTAGAATAATTAAATTGCTGAAATTAAAAAAAAAGCCTATTTTCAAAATAATTTTCTTTCTAGACATTTTAAAGTATTCTTTACAAACAAATTTTGTCATTCATAAATAAATCAAATACCAAAAAATTATGGCAGTCTATATTTTAAAAGTTATGATTACTTATTTAGTGGTTCCTTAATGGAAAAGCGATCTAGAACAATCCCTAGTTAATAAACACGGACATACTTAATTATTCATCTTTTGAAACATCTGCCAGCCAATCAGAATCCAGAATTCAGGAATGTTTAGGCTACAATGGCCTAACATATATGTATGGAACATAAAAGAAGATAATTTGAGAAACATCTCAGTATTTTTTGTTCATGCAATGAAAGTGAATAGTGACCAAAACAACTTAGTTACCAACAGTATTCAAAATACCTTCTTTTATGTTCTGCAAAAGAAAGTAAGTCATTCAGGGTTGAAACGACATGAGGGTGAGTAAATGATGACAGAATTAATTAATTTATTTATTTTTGGTGAACTATCCCTTTAATGTTTTTTTATTTTATTTATTTATTTATTTTTATAAATGAAATGATACTCTAAAGAAGAAACTAAAACTGCCAGCAGGTGGCGGTAAATGTCTTTATGAGTTGAATCGTTCAAACGGCTGATTCATTTAGGAATTCAGTAAACGGATCTCTCTATAAATGGGCTACTGAATCATTGATTCACTCGATTCGTTCAAACGGCTGATTCATTCAGTAATTCAGTAAACGGCTCTCTCTATAAATGGGCTACTGAATCATTGATTCACTCGATTCGTTCAAACGGCTGATTCATTCAGTAATTCAGTAAACGGCTCTCTCTATAAATGGGCTACTGAATCATTGATTCACTCGATTCGTTCAAACGGCTGATTCATTCAGTAATTCAGTAAACGGCTCTCTCTATTAGGATTGGTCTAATCTGCTGTGAATCTCCCAGAATGCCAGAGCTGAGTGTGGCTGCAGATGGGCGTCAGTGGAGCGCGGCGGTGGGTTTATGGGTCTCCGTGGGGAAGCAGCGCCGCTCGAGCCCACATTAGATCAGCATCATATAACAGACCGGCTCAGACCAGCTCAGACCGGCACATCTGGACCAGAGGAGATCCATGACTGATCACAATCTGTTCAAACAGGGCTTGATCATTATGATGCCACGACAAATGCAACAAATGCATGATGAGCATCAGGACTTTTTCAATGTTTTGAGTTTTTAACTCGTATTTTAGGAGCAAAACGTTGTTTGAAGTCTATGAGCCTCTACAGATCTACTGTTTAAGAGCAAATGATTCAATCAAATTATAAGACGTTTATATAACTGTTATGATGAAGTTTATTCAGTCTTAATGAATTTAGCTCTACTTTTAAACACGTTGAACTTTAATGGTAATTAAATGAATCAGACTGCTAATGACTGTAATTAAATGAGCTGATTTCAGTGCTCTTCCGCTGTGAATCAGGTAAACTCATTCACAGCATTAAATAAACAAATGGTTTATTATTTAAAAGGATGAAATGTAATTGCAGGAAACCTCCAGATTGACAGCCGTTCTTCAGCAACGACTCTTAAATATCTCTTATATAAAGCACAGTTCTGTTATTATAATCAGTGTTTCTCCGTCTGTCTGTGGATTGGGCGGTTTGTGCTGTTCTGTCTGATAATGAGCTTCATTGATCAGTTTCTGGCCACTTCACATTGATGAAGCCCGGAATGCATCATTTACTCTGCAAGTGATCCTGCGGGAGTCGATCTCACACACTCATCTGAACTGCAGACACCACACACTCACACAGATTTACACACACACACACACACACACACACACATACACACACACACACACACTCTCTCTCTCTCTCTCTCACACACATTTTATCCTAAAGAACCAATAACAGATTATATTCTGTATAATGAAAATGAATCTTATTGAAGATCATTAAGCACTGGCATTATTTTTATGACAATTAAAAATGCTGTAAGTGATTTAATTGTGCAAATCACTCATAAAATGTCACTACTACTGACAGTGACATTTTTCAATATTAATTTACTCATGAATTTATCATTTAGTGCAGAAAGAATCAGCATCTTCATGAATCTTCACCAATATCTTGGGGAACAATATGTTGTTTATGAAATGTAGTGGAGTAAAACGTACAACATTAAGCTTCATGATGTAGTAAAAGTTTCCCAAAATAAAAATACACCACAGTTTTTTCACCAAATCTGCAAAACCATACACTAATTCTCAGTCTTTGACTCATTTCATAAAACACTTTTTGCAAAGCACAACACACAATTCTCTATGTAACACACACAAATCTAAGTGGAAATTAATATTATGTCAAAGGTGTTTGCAAATGTTTGCTTTTGAGATGTGTTTGTGATTTTTGAATGCAGCGCTTCATTTTGCAAGAGATGTGATGCATTTTGCATTTTGTGTGCAATTCTTGGATTTGTGTGTAAAGTTTTGAAAAATTGAAAATGTGTGTAAGCAGTTGAAAAAAATTATAATAAAGAACTACAGATACTTCTAAGATACTTCAAACATATACAAATACTTTGCTACTGTACACCACTGGTTATTGAACTGAATTGATCTGAATAATGACTCTATTGTCTTCTGTAGAGCAGCTTTACAGCTGAAACTGAGTTTGTCATAATTGAATAAAAAAAAACGTTTATTTTCCTGTTTATTACAGTGTAACAGTCTGTATTGCATAAAGTGCTATAGAAATACACGTGGATTGGCATGATTGTGAATGTAACTCAGAGATGATGCTGTGATTTCGTGAGTCTCTCAGTAAACAGATGATGCAGATGTTCGCACAAACACACACTTTCACACTCACCCTGCCAACTTCCACCAGGTTGGTCACCATGACGATGGTTGCCGTGTTCTCCTGCCACATCATCCTCCAGAAGTCGATGGCGGTCTCCTGCATCGGTCCTGCAGAGAGAGAAAACACACGACCGACTCCATCATGTTTGGCTTAATTGAACAACCTTTGAATTACTCCATTATGGAAACAATTAATCTGAATTAATATAGATTTTAATCAAGTGCCGACTCTAAAAAGAAAATGACTTTTGACACATGATTAAAAGTCTTGTAATGGCTGTATGAGTTCTTAATGTGAGTTCAGACCTGCTCTCACTCTCTCTCACACACACACACACACACTCACTCACTCACTCACACACACACACACACACACACACACACACACGTTTGCTTCTGTGAATTGTGGGGACTTTCCATAGACTTCTATTACTTTTATACTGAAACCTGTTTGCATTCTTACACTTTCAGATAAACATCATTTACTATATTTAATAATTTTTGTTCCAATTTTTTTGGGAACGGCATGACGGAGAGTAAATGATGACATATGTACATGTCGAAACGGTGACTCATAAAATGTAAGTCAATGGCTACCAGTTTTTGAGAATGAAAAAAGTATATCAAGGACACAAAATTAATCCCCGTGGCTCCTGACGATATATTGAGGTCTTATGAAGTGAAACAATCGGTTTGTGCAAGAAACTGTTTCTCACAGTTTATGTAAAAAGGTGAGCTGATGAAGACTAGTTTATTCACTTCATGTGCTTTAGACATGTAAAACATCTGCATTTCACATCATTATTGGGTGCTTTAATAATATAATTGCGTATAAGTTACGTCATTGCGTGACTGAAAAGAATCATATTTCCCCATTTGCCTGAGGCTCTGGATTACAGGTAATAATGTTCAGTTTCTTGCACAGACTGATCGTTTCGCTTCATCAGCCCTCAATATAACGTCAGGTGCCACGGCTATTCCTACTCAATTGTGCGCATAAGTTTTTTATGTGCATTTTTAGTATTTATGTTTTTACATTTAGTCATTTAGCAGACGCTTTTATACACAGCGACTTACACATGAGGACAATAGAAGCAATATATATATATACACTACCGGTCAAAAGTTTGGGATCAGTAAGACTTGCAATGTTTTTTAAAGAAGTCTCTTCTGCTCATCAAGGCTGCACTTATTTGATCAAAAATACAGAAAAAAAAACAGTAATCTTGCAAAATGTTATTTATTTGTAACGCAATGGTTTCTATTTTAATATCCTTTAAAATGTAATTTATTTCTGTGATGCA